CGGTCGCACGTCGGCCGAAGGCATCTTTCTTTCCGCTGCCGCTTTCTGTACGCTGATTTGTTGAGACAAAATAATTAATTTCTCAAAAACTATTGCGAATATCGCAAAACGGCACAGGACTTTCTTGCTCACCTCAATCCGTTCTACGTTCTCACCAAGGGTCATCATGGGACTTCGGGACACCCTGTATATATATACATACAGTTTATGTATATATATATATATATATATATATACATACATACAGTTTCTGAAAAATGAAGATAGAAAAATAATTAGAATATATCAAGTATGAATATATATCAATTGATACCCCAAAATAATGTCAAATAATGTAAAAATGATCATTTAAACATGATGTAGACGTCATTTTGATATAATTAGAAAAGTTTTTTTCTTGTTTGGAATATTATTTTATTAATAAAAGTTATTGAAATATAGAATGCATAGCTTTGCCATAGATTTGCTATCATATATTTTACATAACTTCGTATTATATTTCTTTTGTACTATCTTTAATCTAAACACAATAAATCTTTTTAAAATTTTGGAATATTAATTATGACAAAGTAATATATGTTCTGTATTTACCTTTTTGAATTTTTTTAATAAAAATGATTTCTGCATCTCTTGGGAAAATCCTCATGATATATCCTTTTTTTAAAGAATTATTGCAAAAAGGTGCAGAACATCCTCTCATTTTGTTTCTATTTAATCACATTTATTTGGTTATTACAAATAGAGATCCTTAATATATATTTATCACATCTGTCATATTGACGTATACATATCAGTAAATTCTAACCTCGCATAGTCTGTTCTTCTGAGCTACACCGGTGCAGTAGTGTAGCTGAAAAGAGCAAACTATAAGTTAAACTAAAATAGTATATATGTCTTTCTTCTTCGCAGGATTTAGCATAAACATAGCGGACGGGTCTCATATCCAGTCTCTCTTATAGTGTCTCTATAGGAAACAGAATCTGCGCGCAATCTGTCGTCAGTCTGTCGACAAGCTCTGCGCGCAGTCTGTCACCAATCTGTCGTCAGAAATGCATTGCCAGTACTGAAAATCTATAGTTTATGTTACGTATATTATAGAATTTCAGTACTGGCAGTGAATTTTGAAACGCAGCCAGAATATAACATAGGGCGCGTTCGGGGAGCACGCTATCAACGCTACCACGTTCTTTTATCTTTTGTTCGCGTCGTATGCCCCAATGTGCTCCTACTCGCTCCAACGCACTCTGATTGGTTCGCGTCACTGCGCGGACCAATCAAAATGCGTTGAAGCGAGTAGAAACTTTTGACTATATAATCATGGACCGCTAACCGCTATCTTATATCTGCAGCAAAACGTCTGTCAACTTCTACAACGCCGCCAGGACCAAACAACGGCTATTACGTAAACTATCACATACTTGTGATTTCTGCGTACAATCTGTTGCCATTCTGTCTACAGACACTGTTGACAGACCTGCGTAAAATCTGCTCGCACAAGTTTGGCTAACTGGGTATATAAATATATTATATAAATATCATATATTCTTATGTAATATAATAAATACAAATTTGGTATGAAATTATATAAATATCTTATTTTGTATTTTTATATTTTCTTTGCAAATCAGATATTTTTTCTTGTTACTTAAAAAATTGTTGATTTTTATATTATAGCAAAGTTGTATAACTTATTTTTTAATGTAATAATTTATTTGAAGAAAAAATGAAAGTCTGTTATTGACAATTAAAGAAATATTATAATAATTTTTCATGTACTTTAATGATAACTGCAATTTATGATCACGGACACACACAAAATATCTTTCACATGATAAAATAGAAATCACAAGTATATGATAGTTCACGTAATAGCCGTTGTTTGATTCTGGCGGCGTTGTAGATGTTGACAGACGTTTTGCTGCAGACACAAAATAGCGGCTAGCGGTCCACGGTTTCATAGTCAAAGGTTCCTACTCGCTTCAACGCATTCTGATTGGTCCACGTAGTGACGTGAACCAATCAGAATGCGTTGGAGCGAGTAAGAGCACATTGGGGCATACGACGCGACAAAAGATAAAAGAACGTGGTAGCGTTGATAGCGTGCTCCCCGAACGCGCCCTATATTACATATTCTGGCTGCGTTTCGAAATTTACTGCTAGTACTGAAATTCTATAATATATGTAACATAAACTATAGATTTTCAGTACTGGTAGTGCATTTTGGAACGCAGCCTCTGTAGTACTTCTCTACTCGGGTCGAGAATCAGAACGGGGAGCGTTCCGATTGACGACAACCGATTGGTACGATTGGACACAACCAACCGATGCAAAGAATCTAGTGAATTACCAGTTCGAACCAGTCATTACAATCTGTGTCCAATCGTACCGTGGTCAATCGGGTCCCACCCATCAGAACGCAGCCCTCTATAGATATGCATTTGGAATGAAAAACATGCACTTCTAGTGCAGAGCGTAAATTTCTTTGATCGTTGCGCGCGCCACTGACAATTTGACAGTCCTCAACGTAAGGGTGGGGGCTGTAGTACGCGGCCATATTGGCTACTTGTGACTTAGGAGGAACGAGTAAAAAATAACCCAACTTTCTTCGTACCTTTCTACGTGAAAGAAAATGTTGCCCTGGAGAATTGTCCACTGACTCTTGTTACATCGGTATCATCTCAGCACGACTGCGGCTTTACGCCGAGGTCTTTTATCTCCCACACGAAGGCTATTCCCTTTTATCTGGAAAATGGTGCGTTTATCCAAGAGAGAGAGAGAGCCAGATACTCTACCGTAATTCAAAGTTATCGTGCCTCGTACCTCATAAATGTGTCATATCAACCTCTTTTGATTCCTGCTGCAGAGTTTCTTCGGTTTTGGTCAGTCTGCTGATATAGAGATCACATTAGATGGCGCCGAAACAAGGAAGACTGCGGATATTAAATCCGAGGATGGAAAAAAGGAACGGCATTTATTGTATTATGACGGCGAAACGGTATCTGGCAAGGTAGGAGTCATTTTCTAGAATTGACTTCTGTATCGGCTTATCATTGATCATAGCTTATAAAAATTATAGCCTGATAAGTTTCAAGTATTAATATATTTGTATGTAACTTGCACACAGCTTTTTTGATACACTAGAAACTATAAATTGCTTGTTCTGCTAATCTCATTTTCATATCCTTATACTGTGGATTTATTTGTCTTTTATATCATGCTGTCTCATGTTCTGCTGAATTAATTATGCATGAATTAATTTATAATAAAAAAATAATTAAACACATACATGAATGTAAATGTCTCACGTGTGTGAATGTTTACACTTACACATACATATGTACATATATACAAATACACACACATACATAGAAAAACAATACTAGGCATTATACTATTTCTTTATAAGGATTAATTCTAGTATATTACTCAACGTTGTGAATATAATCTATTGAATGCTTCATAGCATTCTAATAACTTCAAAATTTCAAATAAACTGCATTTTATACATATTACTGATTATATATATTTTTGTATTATTTGATTCATTATTTCACTTGATATTCCACATCATTTTCATATTGTATTAATGTTTCCAGATTAATATCAGTTTAAGAAAAGCTGGTAAATTGGAGCATCAAGGTGTTAAAGTAGAGTTCATTGGACAAATTGAGCTGTATTATGATAGAGGTAACCATCATGAGTTTACCAGTCTGGTGAAAGAATTGGCAAGGCCAGGAGAGTTAACTCACAATACAGTATATACATTTGAATTCCCGAATGTGGAGAAACCATTTGAGAGTTACACTGGCTCCAATGTGCGATTAAGATACTTCTTGAAAGTAACAATCGTACGAAGACTTAGTGACATTGTTAAAGAACTCGAATTAGTTGTGCACACGCTTAGTTCCTACCCAGATATGAATAATCCCATTAAGATGGAAGTTGGAATTGAAGACTGCCTGCATATCGAATTTGAATATAATAAAAGCAAGTAAGTTACATGTATATTGATCTTGCTCCTTTTTCAGTTCTCTTTGCTGAATTTGTGATAACTTTTCCATTGTTCTTTTCAGATATCATTTGAAAGATGTAATTGTTGGCAAAATATACTTTCTTTTGGTTAGAATTAAGATAAAACATATGGAAATAGCAATTATCAAACGTGAAACTACTGGTTCTGGTATGCTATAAATAACTTGTATACTTATATTAGTATAGTATAGAGTCACTCTAAGCAGAGTTTGGCCATAAAGGAATAACTTTTGATTGGTCCACTGTTTTGTCAAATCCCACACAATATCCAATCATAATATGCCTATAGCAATAGGTTAGGTTAAGAAAAGATAGACAAAGAAAGAGATTGAAAATATGTCTGTTTCTCTTTCTCATTTTGACGAAACCGCAGTTATGGTCAAACTCTACTTAGAGTGATTCTAGTATAGTAGACAATGTTAACTATAATTTTTACAGTTTTAAACGCATGCGACATTGCAATATTGGAATGCGAGTTTTGGTTTTATAAGTGTACTTTTCATGTAGTATCTATGGTACTAAGGCAATAAATAGAATATATATTTGCAGGCCCTCATACGTTTACTGAGAACGAAACCATAGCAAAATATGAGATCATGGATGGTGCACCTGTTAGAGGAGAGTCCATTCCTATAAGAGTATTCCTTGCTGGGTATGATTTGGCGCCTACAATGCGTGACATTAATAAGAAGTTTAGTGTTAGATATTACCTGAATCTGGTTCTCATGGACGAAGAAGATCGTCGATATTTTAAACAGCAAGTAAGTCACTTATAAATCTCTTTAACAACATTACTTGTCATTAATTATTATTACTATCATTAATCGATAATCTCCTTCGTATTTTCCCTTAACGCTACGCTATTTAGGAAATAACATTATGGAGGAAAGGTGAGAAGAGTAGAAAATCGCAAACGGCTTCGCCGCACATGCCATCGCACTTAGTATCGGCTGAGACAGGATTTCCGCAAGGCGTTGCCCAAAACGGTCCACCGTCAGTACCACCCGGTGCTCCTGGTCAACTGCCAACAAGTAACATCACGAATGTAGAAGATACTACAGCTCCGATTGAAGGCATGACACGAGAAGAAGGAGACGGGGAAGGTGAGAAAGAAGGCGGTCCAGAAAGCGATTAAATCTCGGCGTATTAATTTCGTCATTGACGTCGGTTACAATTCAGATTAGTTAAACATGGTCAAATATAGCCGAGATACAAAGGATAGAATGCGAAAGAATTAGTTTAGCAAAGAAAAGGAAGAAGAAATGTCTCCTTTATTGCGCCGGGAAATTTGTTTTTAGTAAGAGAAACAGCGGGGCGTGTAAAGACTCGCTAGTAAAATTGTAAATATTTTGGATATATATACCCCCACATACACAACATACACGCATTACATACATAATTGAGAGCCAACGCGATTTGTAACTAGTTGATTATCGATCAAAATTATAATACTATCGAAAAGAGACACAAAGGAAGATTTAACCATGATGGGGAAAGAATATGGTTCCGCGAAATTGTTTAACAAGTTGTATATTGCGAAGTATAATATGAACCAGCAGTATAAATATTCCTGAATGGATGGCTTACTAATCAAATATTAACCAACGATATATTTTGCAAAACATCTGGGTGTTATAGTGTTCTAAATGTTTTATACAGGCAATGCCCATTGAGACCCGCCCATTGTATAATTCTGATAAAAACTGAAGTCTCTCATTCAGCAGCGTCATGTGTTACACAAAGAGATTTTATATGTATAAAATAGACATGTATACTCACAAAGGCTGCCCCATATTAATCCGTTCAACTAGTCTACGAATAATGATTAAGAGCACGAAAAAGCTACACTTATGTAAATGATGCATGTTTTTAATAATAATTTATATAATGTAAACACAAGAGATACCTTGAGCAAAGAAAATCACACTTATTTTTAGAACGAGTTTATACAAAAAAAAGAAAAAAAAAGAATATCGATTATTGCATGATAAAAGCCGTAGATAAATCTTTTCCTTTGAGTTTAGCTAAATTGTGCATAGTAAAACAATTTCATAAGATAGTCTTTTATATGCAAGAGTGTGCATTATTTAATAATAATCTTCCAAACACGAATTATATGTATGATATCTGCTCAAGACAATATGCCTTTCTTGACACGAGAGTGGACTATAATAGATTAAATAATGGGGTAGCCGCCTCGTGTATTTATAAATATATACATACTGCAGTTCACGTATATGCATATATATGTATATATAAATACAATTTCTCATTTTGGCAATAACGACTAACTGGATCATTTATGGTGTTTGATAAATCGTAAGACACCTGACGAAGAGATAATTTGTTGTATAAAGACGGATAATATAGAATATATTTTTAAATAGTCATTAGCTTTGAAGGCAGCGATTTTGAGTATGAAAATATTGTATGTCAATTTGGCTGTTGATACTTATGTGCATCCATTCACATATTAAAAATAATTTCTCTCATGTAACATGCAATCATTTAAAAATATTTATTTTTCATTTCTTTTTTTCATAAGAAAACTTACACTCTCGCCAATTGTACTACGATTTACAGACATCCTATATTACACATACATACGCGTGTGCACATATGCCCGCGCGCATACACACACACACACACATATATGTATTACGTATTACAATATCATCAACAGTCATAAGCAGACATATTTTCCATCGTCGCAGTGTGACTAAATGCTGCCGCGATGAAAGCGATGCTGCTGCTGCTGCTGCTGCTGAAAAAGGAAAACCTGTCGTTTTGTACTGTTCTATATCATAGAAAATGACTGTAAAAAGGAAAATATCCTAAGGAAGTGCATAACATATAGTTAGTTGATATACATACATATAATGCGCTCGAACTTTTTTTCATGTAAATTTAAACTTTTCATAATCCACGCCTTTGTTATCTGTTGACTCTCAAACAATGGGATCGTGAGAAAAAACTGAGTATAAAAATATAAAGATGGAGGAATGTACGTGTATGTAGACGAGAAGAGGGAAAATCTATTTGTGAATTATTTGACATGTCAAATATTGTATATATATACATATACAACATATTATCATGCGATATGCAATTAGTTGTATATTTCAATGCCCATATGAATATATTATATATTGTATACAGTGCATGTGTGGTGCCTACATGTGTATATTGAAAGATTATTATTAATTATTTCACATATATACAATTTGTCTCATTTTAATTCTTATATCTTTATTTCTTGTTAGTAAATAGAGACAAAGTCTATTAAACCTGCTGTTCCCTTGTGTTATTGAATAAAAAATGCATTTGATCCATCGTTGAATCGTACTAATTAAGAATAAAGATCATTCGATTCGCTATTTAGAAGTACAAAGTTTTGAGATAAAAAGTTATATTCACTTTCGAAGGCTAAAAAGATATTTTTCTGAAAAAAATTCAGAAATATATATTATTAAAAAAAAAATATATATATATAGATACAGGGTCCGGAAACGGTCAAATATTTCGAAAAGGATCAACTGTAGCGAAAAATATGTAAGTAGCCTAGTTGTAGAGCTTAATAAAATGTACTTAATGGTGGCTAAAAATTTGACTTTGGGTGGAGGACGAAAGTCATACGAAGGTCAAATTGAATTTTTTAAATTGGACGCCCCACTTTTTATTACATATTCTTGTAGTTTATTTCAAGGGCTTTCCAAAAACCTATAATAAAATATTTTTTATTAGGGATTTTTAGAGTTATGAGGCTTGAAAGAATTTTGGTCTTTAACTATTTCTGTTTCGTAAAAACGTATCACTATCTTCTGAACGGTGGATTTAGAAATAAAATTGCGATCAGGATATGCAGCATTGAATGTGTAGGTCAGTTACTTCTTCGTATGATCTAATATAGTCTCCAAATTTTCGATAAAGAAACAGCATTATCTTTTCTTTATTGGTTAACATTTTTAAAAAAGAAATTTGAAATTGTAGTTAGGAAAAGATAAAGAGTAAGATGCGAGAGAGCACGACTCGTTTTTAAAATACAAAGATTGAGAAGCGTTATCGTGAAGCGCGGGTATGTGCGAGTTTTGACCGAGTACGTGTGATATTACGTCGTGAATGAATAACCGCGTTCGATGCGAGCGAATGAACAACTAGGCTGGGAGCCTAAAAAACATAAACACAGGAGAAAAACAAGAATAACTTTGTTTTTCGTGTCTTGAGCTAGACGATATGACCGACTTAGTTGTTCATTCGCTCTCACCGAACGCGGTTATTCATTCACGACGTAATATCACACGTGGTCAGTCAAAACTCGCGCATACCCGCGCTTCACGATAACGCTTCTCGATCTTTGTATTTTAAAAACGAGTCGTGCTCTCTCGCATCTTACTTTTTGTCTTTTCTTTTTCTTTTTCCAACTACAATTTCAAATTTCTTTTTTAAAAATGTTAACCGATAAAGAAAAGATAATGCTGTTTCTTTATCGAAAATTTGGAGATCATATTAGATCATACGAAGAAGTAACTGATCTACACGTTCAATGCTGCATATCCTGATCAATTTTATTTCTAAATCCACCGTTCAGAAGACAGTGATACATTTTTACGAAATAGAAACAGTTAAAGACCAAACTCCTTTCAAGTCTCATAACTCTAAATATGCCTAATAAAAAAATACTTTAT